TATAAAGTTACCACTCGACTTCGCATGTATAAACACCATCAGGTTCGTTATATGAATAATCTGCAGATATATGAGAACCCATTGGTTACTCCACGCTCTGGTCGGCTTCAACTTGTTCGTTAAAGTCAGCGTCCGCAAATCCCCGCTGCTTCATTACTGAAACCAGAACGTCGACGCTTCTCCTTTATTGATGCTTGTTCACATAGATGTGTTGGCCTAACCAGATGGCCAGCATTAACGACCCTACAGTCTCAGTGGGCACTTGGATACTTTTTAGGCCTTTACCGTGATGGGACTGTGAATTTACTCATTCATAAAGTCGATATACAAACAAATAAAAGAGTTAGATAAAATTATCACACTTTATCCACATTAAGCCCGTAAATGCGCTTCCGCACTATTACTTGCTTCGAAATCTGAAGCCTTAATTGTCTGTACGTCAAAAGGTCTGACGAATACAACAACTACAAAGGTGGCTTCTAACTTCGTTAATCATCAACCTTCATTAGTGAAGATGAAGGGAGACCAGTAACAGCACGAAAGTAGCTCACATTCCTTGATGACAGTTTTGAATAAATCGTTCTCTAAACTTTGTTCTAAATGGTTAAAATGGAAAATTAAAACATTTAGATAAAATCAGCAAGCGTTTATGTTCTAATCTAATTGTTAAGGCATTACAGGCAGTTATTTGGACATTAAGCATATTAAACAACAATACAGCACAAAGAGGGTTGGATATGACTTTTCCGTTTCTTCTTTTCTTTCTTTTTTCTTTTTCGTTTCTTTTTTTTCGTTTTTCCCTCGCTTCATTATTCTACTATTTCTTGTGTGCCTTTGAATTCGTTGGCTGTTAAGGAACTTTTAACACAAGCTCTCAGTAGAGATCGAATAGAAACAATGATCACGGCCGGATGCCTTTATGCTCACATAGTGCATTTCCCATTTCTCTTGTTGCACCAGCTATTTCGTTCGTAATTCCACATATTTGGTTGTTGTGAAAGAAAGTTACAAAGCAAAAACCGTTTGAATTAATGACGGGAATATTAAAATTTGTATGAAAATTCTTGTACGATAGCGTTACAGGTGTGAGTAGTTTCAAGGATTATATGATTGTATGGAAATTACGACAGCAGGAAAAGCACAGATTTTGAGGCGCGACAAAATTGAGAAACCAAGCCTACTTGCTAAATCTGTATCTAAATACATACGCATGCGTGTTTTGCATGTAAATGAAGAAATATTCAGCTTATTGCGAAAGTAAAGTGGTTTCGAAATGTGAATTGCAAATCATTGTAACTCTGTTCAAACACCAATTTACCACTCATCTTAGGAAGGTTTAATATTTACATATTGTTGCCAACGGGACAGTAGTTTACTAAGGAACTGAACTTATGGAAGCGATAAGCCTGTTAGAGGCTTGTTCTGAGGCGGATTGTTTAGCGAAGGTTTTGTTGTCGAGACGCTTGAAAAAGTTCTAGTTGATTGGCAAGAGGTTCGATGAACATCGTGGGTGAGGAATGGTTTCGTAATTAAAATTAGTTACTTTTTTATTTACTGCCTAGTTCTATTTTCACGGCAGGATATTATACGGAATCAACCACAACGATGCTGAGATATTCGCAAAACTTGGGCTCCGAGCCAAATTGAATCATGACTTCCTTTTCCATGGGCCCGCGCATTACACACTGCGTCACGGAGTCCCTTGCTCTGCGTTTCTTTCAGCTAATTCTCTATCTACCAGTGCCAACAGCAATCAACCGTCGATGGGATAGATCTAGAGAGCACACAACAGCAATGAACACAGTTACGCGCTTAGATTCAAGTGTTTTGAATACCTCAGGATCGTTGCGGTTGATTTCGCATAATACACTGCCGTGAAAATTGTACTAGGCAGTGAATAAAAAAAAGTAAACACTGTGGTTCCGACTGCAGCCTCAGCTTAACTGGGTCCAATGACGGTGGGGACCGTCAGATCAACCCCGTTGAGAGGTGAATGCTGATGGCTCTGGTGGATAGAAAACTACGTGAGGAGAAACGTAGGGCAAGGGCCTCCGTGGCGCAGTGTGTAATGCGCGAGCCCCAGGAAAGGGAAATCGTGGTTCGATCTGGTCCAGGGTCCAAGTTTTACGAATATCTCAGTATTAATGTGATTAAATTTGATTAGATTCTGCATGGCTATGTGTTTATTGCGCAGCAGAGAGCTATCGTACAAAAAAAGCTGGCTTCTCATCTTGTTTCGTTTTGGATCCATACTCCATAGATTTTCTGTTTTAAGAATGCATCAATCGCGTTACATTACTTCTCTTCTGCAATGATACTGCCAAACTGCAAGACATTTTACTAAATGATCCCATTATCCGAAAATTAAAATTTGTCCTAACAGTCTTTTATTTGTCAACTAACTATTTTTTTTAAAGTTTAACCCTACCTGAGACCACACGTTAAGTGCATGTCGACGTTAAGTGCATGTCTACATTCTTGCAGTCGTTTCGTTTTTTCGTATACATTACCTAGCAACGTACTCGGTTTTTAAGCATGGATTCGGTTGCTGCTTAAAGATTTTTCGCTCTTCGTTAGCAAATCTGCTGGATGATGGTTGAGCCGATTCTTTCGGAACTACTAAAATAGCCGTGCTAGGCGTTTCCGCGTTTTCACCAAATGCAGTCGCCGATTTCTACATATTTCAAGAAGCTCTTTACACAATTCTGGTACAAATTTTCCGATTCCTAACAAAACCGAGGCTTTGATATCCCGCTTTGCGGACGAACGAGTACAACGGGCACATTGAACAGCAAAGCACTCACTGCGCCACCTACACCCAAAACAAATTAGCTTCTAGAAAATACAGAGGAAAGATACCAGCTGTAATCGCTACGGTGCTCTCTACTTATAGCGGTTTTTTCACCTTTCGATGCCTTTCTAATCATATGAGGTTTGTTTAAACTGTTGAGCTCACACGAGATTCATACGAGATGTTTATTCGGCTAACGTTTCAACGCCTTCCTCTTCATCAGAGCCGGCGACCCTGGTCGATGGTCCACAGTTGTTCTTCTTCTCGATGTGACCTCTTTGCCTTCCATTGAACGGAATCTTCCTCAGCTAAGCATCTCGAATGAGCCGAGCAAACCCGCGACGCTCTTTTATACAGGGCGGTTGTTGTTGATATAGTTATCAATCGATGGTAATTTGTCTTTCAACTGATAATCCACCCTGTAGTAGTCGGTATTTTGCTAGCTAGAAAATAGCGAATAGCTTTTTTCAGAAAAGAATTGTTTCACAAACGAATGCTGAACTGTGAGTGTTGGGCACATCTACATGCCTAAAATAGTTTTTTAGAGGCATCTCCTCATATCTCCGACAAGACACCTTAATAATGCTTTGAGAATTAGACATTCAGAAAGAATGTCCTAACTCATGTTTTGGTGACGTTTTGATTTCTTATCGATGCTTTATTTGCAGATGCGAACTCATGGAGCAGAGCGATGCTGTTTTTCTCATGTGAGAGCCTCATTTGAACCAAATGAAATCATTGCGAACTGAGTTTCAGGAAAACAACTATATGGTGAACTATTTAGTTCGTGTATCGCATTGATCAAATGTGCCGGGCAATTCACGTGGGTTCGATCCCGCGCTCCAGGCTCACCGAGACTTGCATCATTTCTGAGTAGGCAAATTGGTACCAGACCTTCCTGGAAGGATAGCAGCACTGACTCAATACATCGGTGGGCCACTGCGAGTCATGCTAAAGATCAGATATGCACTCATTCACGTCCAAAGGATGCTTGATGAAGTCGAATGCATGACACATCCCATCTCTCTGAGCTTAATCAACGCCGAGAGGTTTATTCTGTATTTTATAGTGAGCTGTTCGACAAGAAATATGCTTTAAAATGATAGTAATAATTAATGTTTAATTTTTATTTTCTGCCTTCCATTATTTTTATGGTAGAGCATTAAGCGAAATACAACAACAAGAATACTTATACTACTACTAGAATAGTACTAGATACTTAGTGGAAACCTCATGGAAAGCGGCTCTGAGGAAGGCGAAATCCGCCGAAACGTCAGCTTAATCGTGAACAAAGAATAATAACACCTCGCGTTTGCTCAACAAAAATACGAAGAAAACAACAACAAGATTACTGAGATATATGCAAAACTCCGGACCGCAGGTGTATGCGGTGGAGAACGAACGCGCTATTGTCCTTTCCGGGGAGTAACACGTTCATCACCACACCATGCGTGTTCTTCGTTTCGCCTGTCTCTCAGTTAGCTCTACCGGTCTTCAATTAACTTCTTCTTTAACTTTATATAATTAAAGTAAATAAGCAAAAATTACCACACTAAGTTTACTTCATTATAACCGAATTCGCCGTTGTTTTCATAGCGACATTATGTCCTTAAAAGGGGTAACGTACGATTAGGACAGTACAGTCTGTTTCTTTCGCAATAGTTTGCTTTACATAAAGAAAAAAAACCGTGAACGACAATCGTGGGTCAGCGTGGAAAATAGAGGTCGGAATACGAGTCCATTTTGGTTTTATTTATATACTTGCCGTGTTACAGGTCCTCGCAATATTCTATAGAGTATCAAAAACTAATATGTTCACAGTTCTCCATTATATTTGCGGCATGTAGCAAAACTGTGACTGAGAAAACGCATTGCATTCCTTAATTCGATTGCTTTTCACTGTCGGCTCAAGTTTAATCCACTGCGAATAACTTGCAACCATGATTTTATCTTAAGTGCTCGGACTCTCACACTGAGAAGCTCCCATATTTGTAAATCGTTTTGAAATTTTTTACGAATTTGATGGATTTACAGGGACTGTCTTCGCAATTTACTTTCTAATTTAGGGGACCTGTACTCGATTCCACGACGGCAGTACGACATTGGCGTCACCAGCGAAAGCATCTTACGTTCGCCTTCAGTCGTTCAGACAACACTTTTCGACAGAAAAATAAATAGTAGGTATAAGTAAATTATAAGGAAATACGTCATGAAACATATTGGCCATTTAGCTATTGATCCTTCGTTCTATGACTGTGTGTACAGCACTCCATTTGGTCGAACGATCATTGAAAGATGTTATAAGGATTTCGGTTGTTGCTTGACCACATGTTGCTCTGATCAGGACTGGTTAGTGACTGATCATTTTCTTCCACTCCGCCTTTTTCATTTTTTGCGAAAGTCAATTTTCTTAACTCGACAGAAGACATTTTAGCCTTTCGTGCATTAAAAAGGCCGTACTAATTATGTTCTTTTTTTCGTCGCTATATTTCGATTACTATTGAATAGATGACATAGCAACTATATATTTTAAAGCTCTTAACGTTCCAGGAAAATCAAGTATGCATGGGCTTTAGCGCTGATTGTGGCATTCTGTGCTCTTGTCGTTCTTGCTGTGGTAATCTGGATGATAGTCTGGCTTGTGAATCGCAACAAAGATAAAAAACAGAAACGTCTACTAGAAGATTCTGGAATGCCTCAGGCAAACTCGAACGTTAGTTGGTCTTGATAGCTACTCTTTAGTGGCGTTAAAGATCGTCTGATAATTGAAGCAGTGTCCAATGTAATCGAATTCACAATGCGAAAAGAAAGCACAGACGAACTAGAGCGAACTGGCAATGCACGAAAACAATGGTTGTGATGAACAGTGGTATTACGACGTTTTACTTTTTATTTGCTGCCCACTACAAATTTTCACGGCAGGATTTGTGCGAAATACAACCATAAATGTGTTGAGATAATTGCAAAGCTCTGGACCACAGATGTCTGCGGTGGAGAGCGAATGATCCATTATAAACTAGGTTCATTGTCGATTTGTGCTCCCCAGATCAATCTCGCTAATGGGTGATTGCTGATGACACTGATCGATAGAACTAGCTGAGAGACAGGCGAAACGAAGGAACTGCATGGTGTTGTGGTGAACGTGTTAGTCCCCGGAAAGGTTAATAGCAAGTTCTTTCCCCGACGCAGACACATGTGTCCAGTTTTTTTGCAAATATTTCAGCATCCTTGTGGTGGTATTATATTTCAAGCATTATCGATCATTATCCGTGAGCCACAACAGAGGAGTGAATTAATGAAATAAACAGAATGAGAAGTGTATCAATTACCGTTTTGTTTAAATATGTTCCTTAAAAAATAGATGGGAATTCGTCCCAAATTTCATTTTTCTCGTGAGCTTCGTAAGATTTCAGATATCGCTTGCTCAAAACCAATCGAAAGGTTCTCAGCCCGTTGGTACTGGTCCCTACCAGCCAGCCGCTCAAGTTGGATATCGATACTAACACTCTAACCTCGACGCGACAAAACTTCGTTTCACCTATTTGACCAATTACGCTGAAAATGTTTTTTATTTCGAGGTCTACTTTCTGCTGTTACATTATAGAGTGCATTGGTTCCAATTAGGACTAGTAAATACACATTATCTATGTGTGCTTCGTTGAAAATCAGTGTCATTCTTCTGTTAGTGTGTTGTGTGATACAAATACAAAAAAGACAATGAAAAGCGATCAGAAAACGATTTAACTTCGATTTAATCTCAGCAGAAGAACAGTCCTGCATGCCAAAACAATACTTAGTGGCAGCAGCTCATTCGTGCAGTATTCTCCAGCTCCTTTGATTCTCCCCAATGTGACACAAAGGAAGAACGACAGCCAGAGAAAGAACCGTTTTGGTCACTAGCCTCCAATTATCACAGTTCTGAAGAAGGCGGTAACGTCGAAAAGATAACAGCAATAAGGATTAGTGATAACGTCGTGTAATCTTGTCAGCCAACAAAGACAATGATTGTCTGTGCTGAGTTTAAGTGAAAGTAAGTGCAAAGAGGTCGTAAGGATTCTGTTATGCATTCCGTAGTAAAAGTGAGAAAGATTTACCTGAACCTTCTTTAAGCCTTTGAATGAACGTTTTCTAAGACCTCATTTTTAAACTCTACAATTCGGAGCTAATGGCTTAGTGCTTCATGAAGACTAACGTTTTTCTAGGTTTTGAACTGCGATACGTAGCGGCAGGTTTATTTAGCAGGCTTTGCCGAGCTGAGGATAATTTCTCCATTCCCATGCATGTTCTAACAAGGAGTGGACCGAAATCAGGATTCACGGTCATGATTGTAGCAAACCCGTTTCCAGTTGATCTCTCAATGAACCATAAAGTCCGGTGACTAATAATGATGACAAACTGAAATTCCACCAAAGATTGGCGCCGGAAATAGAGTGACCAACAACTTGCTAAGCCAACAACAAACTAGCTGCAGCAACGCTCATAATTTGTTTCCTGGCTTAAAGAGTAAGAGGCAGAGGCAAGCAATGAATAGCCATCAAATTCCAATGATACAATATTTCATTGAAATCGGATCAAAACAATGAGTCCCGGAAACCCAACATAATCCATTTTAGCGCTTCTCAAGAGAGGAGAGACAAAAGGAAGAAAAATAAAGATGCTTCACTTCGGTGTCGGGATTCTTGAAATTCGTAGAGGAAAAATCATCCACAAAAGTGGCGTAGTTGCAGGTCCACTTGTTCCCAATAACATTTTCTCACATTAGACTCTCTCACTTCGCTCGATCAATTCGTGTTTTCAATCTTTAAGTCGAAAATAGGTCAGAATATATGTATATCAAAACCTTCGTCAACAATGAACGCGAGGAAACGAATCTAAGGCAAAAAGTGCTTGGAGCCGCTCAACACACGTAATGACGAGTTATGTAAAATCACCTGTCACTTGTATTGTCTGTAGTCACGTTGATCATCGAGTGTTTCGAGCGGGCTCCAGCAAATCTTCCTTTAATCCTGTCGAGTGCAAGAGTAGCCCAGTGGATTTTGCTCGCCCTAGGGATTCGTTGAACATCACAGCTATTCGCTAGGGTTTTCTTGAAGAACACTGACCATCAGTGATCTTTCCGCAGTACGCGTAACATCCCAAGAAATACAGTCACTAACGGCTCTTGTCCACCGGTTCTCGTTCATACGCATCACGTGTTCTGCCCACCATATCTTCGACTGTTTGGCGTATAGAACGAGATCATTGAATTTTGATCGTTGACGCAGGTCGGAGATCTCACTTGTGTGACATGGTATACTGCTAGCATCGTCCTTTCGACTGCGCGTTCAACAACGCTCAGTGACCATTCATCCTACTTACACAGCGATCAGGTTTCTGACGCATACGTTACGGCAGGAAGTACTGTTGAGTTGAATAGGTGGGCATGGAGTCGAGTGTTCTTTGTTCTCTTCACTATATCCTCGATGTTCTTGAATGCTTCATAAGCCGCTAATTTTTCTCTACTCAGCTCCGGAGCTATGTCGTTCATCATATTGACTTCCCAACCTAGATAGCCGTAACTGAAATATTCGGAGATATTCGTTCCGTTGAGCGTAAATGGGCATACGAAACCAATCCCCCATGGGCATTGTTTTTGAGACATTCCAGTCAACGAGATTGATATGGGAAGCCCAAATCACAGGGAGATTGCTGGTGGAAAAAGATCGATAGAACTAGCTGAGCGACCGGTAAAACGAAGGACCCGCAAGGTGTGGTGGTGAATGTGTTACTCCCCGGAAAAAGCAATAGCGCGTTCATTCTCCACCGAAGACACCTGCGGCTCGGAGTTTTTGTAAATATCTCAGCATTATAGCAGATCTGAGTAGTATTCGTGAATTATTTTCTCCATTGCCTTTCTACACGCTGTAAGTGTTCTGTCTGAGCGCCGAAGCGCAATTATTTTGGCCGTGTAATTGGCAAAACTTCGGTGGGCTTTGCGAATGCTTCTCCCAGCCTCTGCAGCCTCGACTATCGCTGCTGCTCTTCTCTCTTTAAGATCCTTTTTTGTCGCCTGTCTGCATTGGTTTGCAAGTTCGGAAGTTAGTTCGCGGTTGCTTGTAGCTCGCGCGATTCCATGCTGGTGTGTCACCTCGAATGTTTCTGGAGACGAACGTCTCTTGGTGACTTTCGAACTCTCATCTTTCATAGCGCTAACGTGAAGATGTTGAATAAGCTGCTCGTATTTTTGGTCGATGTTATCCACAACTGCATCTTCCAACAGCCGCCTAATGAATTGAATAAGTACCAGTTTATGGTAGCTTTGGGACTTCGTTTTTTGGATTTAGCGGCTTTTTCTCCTTTACGCGAGAAATGGAATCTTGCACAAAGGCGGTGGTCTGAATTTGTGTAGAATATTGGGGCAGCAGCGACATAGGTTAAGTAAAACCTTCGGTTCACTAGGATGTGGTATATTTCGTTATGGTGCTTTCCATTGGTAGTCGTTCCATTCAAATCCGTGGGTTCAAATGTAACGTTCTTTAGACGTTTTTCTTGTTCCAATCTTAGCGTTAAAATCTACAATAAAGACGTTGAAGAATGTAATTTCTTCTCTGTAGAACTTCTCCAAATTCATATAGAACGCTTCGACTTCTTCTTCGTCAAACTTTGGTGTAGGCGCGCAAACGATAAAGATTATCAAAGCCGGTATTTATCCACATCTTTTTAATCGTAAAAGTCCGAATCAGGTTTTCAGTTGTTTGAATGAATCTATGTTCATGGACAAACTCGTGTTGAAGAGAACACCGACGCCACCGACTACTCTTTTGTCGCATGTTTCGAGGGAGTGTTCTTCACTGGTGTTATAGACGGTTTTAAATGGGTGGCGTCGTCTCATCTTGGCCGAGCCGATGACGTCGTACTTTACCTTTCTTTCTTTCATGATCAAATCTTCTATCGCGGGATCTGATGCAGGTGTGCGTGCATTGTAGGTAGAGTTCGTCACCGTAGTTCTTTTTGAGGCCCGTTTCTCTTACTGCTTTTAGCTTTTTGATACCCACCTATAGTTTGCTGGGCTCTGAACGTGCGAGTTGGGTAAGCTCACGGATAGCTTACGAGGCTCTCCTAGAGTGGACATGGAGCCTATTTACTTTAGGCGATTCCTAACCGCCTCCCATATATTTTCTTGTCACTTTCTTGCTTGGTTTTGGCCAAATTGGCTCGTAGAACACAATCCACATAAGCGAAAATGCACACACACATGCACGCATGATACGCCTAGCAAATAGAGAAAGTATGTGCCAAATCGACGCAGCAGAAACAGGGGGTCCATCGCTTGGATCCACCTGCTTCTCAGGGAAACATGCGGTCGCTTTTCGTCCGCGATTAATCCACCTATCCGCCACCTGGAGACGCGCCACGTAACCTCGCGACTAACCGGCTCGAGGTCCTTCATGAGAGAAACTTTTTTCGTGGGTTTCTACTATAACACAACAATATTGTACAGTGGACTCCACGAGGAT